TACGCTTATAATTAGACGGTTAATACTACGACTAAGAAAATACTATTCTCTTAAGTCCTAACGTTTAAATCTACGATAAATATTAATATCGTACGAGAATCGTAGGAGGGTAATAATAACCTCGTATAAGCGAAAGCTAGGGCGCTTAAAGAAGCTTAGTAAGAAACTATAGTATAGTAGAAACGAATATAGTATAGTATAGTAAAGTACTATAATAAGCGCCGAGGACTACGAATATATACCCTAGAGGACTAAGTTATACTATCCTTTAAGTTTATTCGTACGCGAAGAATAAGTAAGAAACTAGATAACTAGTTCTTAAGGCCTTTTAAAGTACTTAAGGTAGTAGATTAGAATACCTATATACTAAAGCTACTAACGAAGTATAGAAGGCTATATAATATATTCTACGTATCGTTACTAGAATCGTATCGTATACGACTAGGGAGCGAGAAGCCTAGGCCTATCGACGTAGACGGGAACGAATAGTAGAAAGTCGAAAAGATTCTCGACTACTAGGATACTAAGGTAGGACGCCGATATCTAATTAGGTAGAAGGGTTTCTCTAAGGCGGAAGATACCTAGGAACCCGCGGAATACCTACTAAACGCGGGCGAGCTACTCGCTAAGTTTAGGGAGATATATAATCTTTAAGAACCTTAGTAGATAAGATTACGAGTAGAAATTAGAAAGTAGAAATAAAATAAAGATATCTCTATAAGGCCTATTTAGGATATAGTATATATAAGGTATACGAGATAACTACTACTTAATAGCTATAGAGCTAAAGAATAATAAGAAGTTAGAATCTAACTTTAAAAACCTATAAAAGTAGGATATAAGATAAAAAAGTATACTATTAGTATAGTAGAGTAGTACCTAAAGCTAGAAACCTTTTTAGAGCTAGGACTAGAGCTAGAGTAATAATTAGAATCCTTAATAGAACTATTAGTTCTAGGGCGTTTTAAAGGTATAGTAGGGAATTTAGCTACGAATCGCTTACGAGTTACCTACTTTATAAGTTTATTTAATAATAATTATTCTAAGTTAGTAAAAGTATAGAAATCCCTATTAGTAGTACGAAGCCGCTTACCCTTATTACTATTAATATCTATATAGAAGTATCGTCGTACTCGTCTAGTAGGCTAGTTATCGGTAGCTTTAATCTTAATATCCTCTATTATTATATCGGCTCTAAGCTTACTAGCGGTTAAATTATATAAATCTCTCTTAGGCTAAGGTAGTAGGGTAATTCGGGCCTAGAGAAAGTATTAGTATAAGGAAAGTATAGGGGTAGTAGGAGAACCTATAGC